AATTTCCAGACAAAAGTCCCGGCCCCGACAAAAGGCCACATCCGATCATGCCCCAAACTCCTCCGCCAAAATGCACAGCAACCGCATCCAGGGGATCATCAACGACTATATTCAGCAAAATAAAAAATAAATAAACAACAACAACAACAAAAACATTGATGATTAAAATCACTGGAAAAAAATCGTCCAAAAGCTAAACTCCTAATCTTTTTTTAAATCTGAATTTTTCGCGAAATTTCACGATGAAGGTCTTATGTTACTGTTGTTCCTTGGAATAATTTGAAAAAAAAATGCATTCAAGCTTTCATACTTACCAACTGATTGATCCATGATTCTCTTGATTGTGAGAAAAACTATGGCAGACCCGATGCCGACAAGAAACGCTGCCCAAGTTGGCAAAATGTTGCAGCCAGCGCAAACTGCCACCTAATAAATTTAAATGCAAACAAAATTAATTTACTGTACAGTACTTCCGAGAGATCGTTTAAACTCATGTGGTATAGCAAATGATTCATTTTAAAATCGGGATGCCAAAAAATATATACTGTATATTCGAAGAAAAGAACCTTTCGAAGTGACAACGATTTTGTCCAGCTTTTTAATCTCACCGGGGAAAAGTATAAATCTAGATATTTTTCTTACGAATCAGCGACGAAAAATTGAAAAAATTATATCAAATGAAAGCTATAAAAATTTCTGAAATCAGACGTTGAAATTATCGCTGGTGCATTAAATCCGAAAGCGAGCTTTTGGTAAACTAAAGAAATCAATTCTAAGCTCTTGTGCCAATAAAAATTTTTAATGCAGAAATAAAACCCGAGCATATCCTGCCAAAAGTTGGAAAAATTAGTTTTTTTTTGCATGAAAGCCACCTTAATGTATAATAAAAATAAAAGTATGCAGTAGAATCTTTGCACAACCAGTTTTTGAAAAATCTGAAAAATTCCAAGATTAAAATTATTTTTATATTGAGATTTTTTTTAATGTTATTTTTAAGCAGTGATTGTAAACAAATACGCTTTATGCAATGAATTCGTTATAACGAGATTTGTGATAATGCGATTCAACTTAAATCCGGATTTTCCGCGCACACCAATTTTTTTCAATTCGACAATATAAAATATGTATCTTCTTCTATCAAAATTGACGAATTAAGAACAAATCTAAACCATTCCGGTGAGTGCCCCGTTGAGAGTGACCAGGAAGCTCCAGCTGTTCTGCGATCCCTGTGCAGAAAAGAAGCCGAGTTTGTGCAAATACAGAGTTGATAGACCAGCTGCTGAGCCCGACAACACAGTGTTGGTGACAGCTATGCTGATTTTGGCACCGTCTCCAGGTGCGGAAATTTGGCCCTGCGACGCGCCATTGAAAGCCAGGAAGCCGAACATGAGGATGAATCCACCCAGAGCAGCAAACTTTTGAAGAGCAAACAAACATTCAAATACATAATTATGTAATCTACATAATTCCTGCTCTGAAGTGATTAAATGTCTTTGAGTGGATTTGGGTTGGGTGGGAAGGGGGTTT